GTAATCGGTATCATTGAAACATGAGTTAGACTTCCAGTATAATAGGAGTGACTTCAAAATCACCAAATATCTGCTCTTTTGCATGGTAGTACCCTTACAAATCATGAGAAGCCTTTCTCCAAAACTGTGGTAAAAATTTTTCAAAAGTGCAATCTGTTTTGAAACTGTTTCTGGGAAAACTCAAGACCAGGAATTGTTACTTCATGAAAAAAATGTAAGACTTGGAATAAAACATCAAGATCCACTAACAAGGCTCACCACACAGTGCTTTACTTATCTGCTGTGAGTTATATGTATTACGTAAATTTTCTGAGTTTAACAACTACCTGCCTGAAAATTGTCACCCAGTAATTAGCAGCTGGCAGACTAGATTTATTTGCATGCTTATTTTTAAAGTTCAAAGATAAGTGATGAGGCTCATAAGATTTTCTATGAACCTTCTTGTTGTGTTCCCTCAAATCACCTTTAATAGAATTAACAAATACACCTCAGAGTCCTTGTAAATACTGAGTACACATACAGAAGGCCAAGAAAAAATATTTCCTCAAATTATCTGAAGCTATCAAAGACAGAAATTCTGTGAAAAAAAACATTGATATCAAAGAACAATAGAGCAAATACTATGAAACAATCTGTTATGGAGCTGGTTAGTGAAGGGCAGTAATGATATGACTGTTGTGGGGGGAAAAAAAAAGCCTTACCACATTTTCAGCCCTATCCCAGGCAGCTGCTTGAGGGATCATCGAATATGCTAACCAGATCATCATGTTCTCTCCCTGCTATTCTCACAAATACTTTAGCATGTCCTGTCATTAAGAAGACATTCATTTTGCCTCTCATCCATGACGTTAACCTCCAACTCCGAACTGTTAAATTTCAAGGACATGAGGTCTTGTGCACTTTCTCTTACGCTGACCCTCATTCCTGCAATAATTCCCCCTTAAACATCCCAATCTATCTCATAATCCTTCTTGAAAACCCTATTTAAACTGCCTTAAGAAACATTGGGGTAACAGTGTGTGAAGATCAAAGACTGTAATACAGACCAATAGTGATCCAGTATTTCCTTATATTCAATCAATTGCCTTTGATTGGCTAATTTTAGCTACTGAGATCTCCAGAGGCATCCTTATTGTTCTGTGTTTCTGTAGCACCTGGTTCTTAGTTTAAATTCTTACATACTGGCAGTGATGCAAATAAATATTTTGACATACAGATAAGATTTCTAAAAGCTCAAACCCAAACAAATAAAAAGATAAGAAAATCGGGTATTTCTAAAACTATCTTAATATTTTGAAGGTCTGACGTTATTAACAACACTGACTGATGTAACTATTATTGCTAGTTTGAAGTCAGTGTTGGAAGAAATGTTTGTACAAATCAAGTGTTCTGATACATGGAGTGGTAGTCTGTGCATATCCAGGAGAGATTAGAAGCTTTTCAGCAATCTGAAGAGCTTGGATCTTCAGAAAAGGTTTTTGTTATTTATTTCTCTTTAGTAGACCTCTAACTGAGTGACTGCCAATGACATTTTATCTAGTACTAATTGCAGATAGAGAGAGAGAAAGAGAGAAAGGGAGAGAGGGAGAAAGGAAGGAAGAAAGAAAGAAAGGAAGAAAGAAGGAAAGAAAGGAAGAAAAAGAAAAGAAAGGAAGAAAAAGAAAGGAAAGGAAGAAAGGAAGAAAGAAAGAAAGGAAGAAAAGGAAGAAAAGAAAGAGAGGAAAACCAGAAGAGGAGGAGCCATGGTGAGCAAACAAGTCAAAAAAACCCTAGAGACAAAATAGTAGTACCAGATCCTGCACAAGCAAGCCTCATTCACAGCTTTCTTGTAATCAAGTCATTCCACTTCAACAGAATCCTGTTCACAGATTCAAAGAATGGGGCTGGGTGCCGAAATTAAGTGTCGCTCATAAATACCTAGAGGCCAGAGTGGACAGGTAGATGATTCTGAGTATGATACTGAGTCCAGAAAGTCTAATGATACTCTTGAATGTAACAATGTGGGAGGAGAGAACCAGGATAATAACTTACTGAAGTGTTAGAACTATAAAAACAATGGGCTGAGAAAATATCCTTTCAGTGAGAGACACGGGACTCGCACACACTAATACACTAATAAGAGTGTTACTAGAGAGTAGTGAGTTGCAACACATCAGTTGACCCACAGTCATCATCTGTGTACTCAATTTTGGTTTGTGGCCAAGGCAAAGCAATTCAAATTAATTCTGCCCTCTTTAAAAGAGGGGAGTTTATCAGCTTGGTTTATCAAGAAACAAAACTGGGAAATTATTTCATTATTATGTAGAAGAATGCTCATGGGGAGAAAGTTCTGAGTACCAAATACCTCCTTAACCACTGAAAAATTGTAATAATAAGCAATAGCTGGAAGACACAATATTTGTCATTAGCCAATGGCCTAAAACACCAACAGAAGCAGTGCATTATCCAAACCATTGAGTCTTGATATCAAGTCTAGATAACTTCTAAGAAGTTCATATGTCTTTAGCTTCAGAAAGAGAAGAGCTGAGTCAAATGCACAGTCTGTCAAGCAAAAAGGCCTAGCAGTTTCTTTGGGATGGCAAATTTTTTGATCTATTCGGTTAAAGATCAGAAGATCATATATCACTGCAATGATCTAACCTAGTCCTCTGTATTAACAGAATATGTAGAATTCAAAGATTCATTGTATGATGATACTGTCTGTCCTGTTTTCAGCTGGGATAGAGTTAATTTTCTTCTTAGTAGTTGGCACAATGCTGTGTTTTGAATTTAGTATGAGAATAATGTTGATACCACACTGATCTACTTGTTGCTCAATAGTGCTTACTCAAAATCAAGGTCTTTTCAGTTTCCCATGCTCTGCGTACAAGAAGGTGCACAAGAAGCCAGGAATATGCATAGCTAGAACAGCTGACCTGAACAGGCCAAACTGATATTCTGTACCATTAAACATTATGTTCAGTATTTAAATTGGGGTTAGCCAAGGGAACCAACTGCTGCCTGGGGGTGGGACAGGTATCAGCCAGCAGGTGGTGAGCAATTGTACTGTGTATTGCTTGTTTATCTTGGGTTTCAGTCCTTTCTCTCCCTCCTTTTCAATAAAATTATTGTTATTATAATAATAATTATTACAGCAATATTTTATTTTGTTTTCGGTAACAAACTGTTCTTAGATCAACCCACGAGTTTTTTCTTTATTTTTTTTGTTCTCCTCCTCACTGGGCAGAGCAGCAGTGAGTGAGTGGCTGCGTGGTATTTAGTTGCTGACTGGAGTTAAACCGTGACACAGTCTCAGTTTTATATACTCCAATATCAAACTGAAGATGCAACTGCATTGATATGCTACAGATTTGGACTATACCTGATAGAAGAGCTGGTGCAAAAAGCTAAAATCTAGTAGTATTTGCCTTTCACACCCCAAGTTTTTCATCCCCTTCAAAATATCTAAATAAATATGCCACACTGGAAGATTTGGTAGGCAGATTAAGAATGCTAGTGTTTATTAAGTTGGGTAGTAGTGTGATAACTGTTGCTCTAAAGGTATCACCATCAGCTGGTGCAAAAATGAAGATGTAAGATCACATATATTTTTAGAAATAATTAATATTTCTACTCAATCTGGTCACAAATATACTTATTAATGATGTGACATACAAATACAAATAAGAAGTTTTAATGCATTAACAGCAGAACAATTTATACCTGTACATGCCCTACTAACGGAAACATGCACAAGTCTTAACAAGGAGAGTGGTAAAGTTATATGGGGGCAGAAGTTAAAAGCAGAACAACAGTGGCAATTTTTATTGAAGAAAGTAAGGAACAATTAGAATGGAAAAACTAGTAAGAGTTAAAAAAAGGAAAGAACATGCAGATAGTCACTGTTCATTCATCTGATTTACTACAACCAGTTAAATAAATATGGTTGACAAGCTTCATTATTTATGCTAAAGGACCTAGCAAGGATGGCAAAGAGAGTAACGTCTGGGTAGGCTTGCAGTTATTTATTTGGACATTTTACAAACTGCAGCAAAAGAGTACCTGCTTACTCATCTAAATTCCCTGGAAAGTTTTAAAACGCAGTAAGAAAGAATCACTTATAGAAAGCTAATAACTGTATCACCAGAGGGGAGTGAAAGAACCATGGGAGAGTTTTCGTGCCAGAATATGGACTCCTAGAGCTTTCTGCGTGAACAGGCTGGAAGTCCTAAGAGTTTGGGGGCCAAGAGAAAGTATTGTCATGGATCGCGTCCCCGTATTCTCAACGCAAGCAGCACCATGCCCGCTCGGTGACACCTTGTCAATGTCCCTTCTGCTGCATCACTCACAAACGCCACCACTTGGGCTGAGTTTTGCCCTTTCTGCCTCGATTAATCCTTATGGCTTTATACTGAAGAACAAAGCATCTCCTCTGATATTAGCCCTTCCTCATCGAGTACAGAAAAAGCGTTCTAAGAATTTAGATATAAACGTTACTTAGCCTAGAAGTATTTTTGCACGGACCTTTTGGGAACGACAGCATTTCTCAGCTTTAGCTCCTTCGAAACTAGACAGCGAACTCGTAGCACAGATTAAACTGTTGAAATACAGATTATGAGCTATGGGGGAAGCGACTGTCCATGCACCTGCGGGCAGTCCCGGAGACCACAGTGCGGAGACCTGTCCTGGGGGCTTCTACCTGCTCCCCCTCGCATCAGACAGGCACCGCGCCTCACCTTGCCCTGCCCTTGGGTTTTTGTTGTTAAACACGATCTGAACCACACGGCTGGATTTGTCCTGCCTGTCGCTGGGATCACCCAGACGGCGCCTGCCATCTCCTGTCCCCTCGGGGCTCGGGAACGACGGCGGGCGGAGGGAGGGGGTGAGGGAGGGGGCCGCCATCTTCTCCGGGCGAGGGCCAGGGGCGAGTGCGCCGCGGCGGGTCCGCTCCGGGCGTGCGGGGAAGGGAGTGGGGTCGTGTGGCCGCGCCCCTGCCCCGTGTGTGTGTGAGGGAGGGAGGGGGAAAGCGAGAGGGAGAAAGCGAGCGGGAGGGCGGGGTGTGGAGGCAGCTCCTGCCGCTGGGCGTGTGCCCGGCCCCCGGTGCTGCGTGACCGCGCGGGAGGAGCAGGAGGAGGAGTGTGGGTGCGGGGAATTTCCTTGTGTGGCGGCGGAGGAACAACACCGCTCCAGACGGCGGGGCTGCGAGGAGGGCGCTGCCGCCGCCGCCGCCGGTTGCCGAGCGATGTGAGGGGGAGCCCCCCTGCGCCCTCCCCTCCCTGCCCCCGGAGCCGCCTGCTTTCCCCCTCCCTCCCCTCGCTCATCCCCGCCCCGCCATGCCGGACCAGATCTCCGTGTCGGAATTCGTGTCCGAGACCAATGAGGATTACAAGTCGCCCACCGCCTCCAACTTCACCACCCGGATGGCCCAGTGCAGGAACACGGTGGCGGCCATCGAGGAGGTGAGCCCGGGCGGGGGGCGCGGGGCGCGCAGCCCCCTCCGGCCTGGCTGCAGAGAACAAGGCGCTACCGGCGCTGGCTCCTGCCGCTCCCTCTCCCGCCCGGCCCCGAGCAGCGCCCTCGGCTGCCGCTCGGAGGAAATGGGGCTCGCCCGGGTGGAGAGGGGAAAGAAAAGGAGCGGGGGAAGGGCTGGGGCGCCGCTCCCCCGGCGCGGGGCTCCCGCTCCGCCCTCCCCTCAGCGCACGGCGGGGCAGGGGCGCCCCCCGCCCTCAGCCGCGGGAGCCTGAGCCGGCGCTTCTCTCTCCTGGTGCCGAGGAACCCCGATCCGGGCGGTTCCGTCCGTCTTCGTCCTACGTGAACTCTGCAGCCTCCCCCCCACAGCCCCTTCCTTCGCAGCGACACCTGAACCACCTCGGCCTCGCCAGCTGCCGAGGGGGGCTCGGGCTTTCCCTGTGTGTCCTTTCCCGGCGTGTGTCTGCCTGCCTCCCGGCACAGGTGGGATTTAATCCGCTTCCCACTTCCCGCACACACAGAAATGCAAACGTACTCCCCCCGGGCACACGGTTTAAGGCAGCCTTCCGTGCGGATCCGATCCCCCAGGGCCGTGCCCGCCTCTTGGTGCGCGGGATCCCGAGCTTGCTGTTCCCTGCCTCCTCCGGGACAGCCGGGCTGCGGGTGCCTGGCGTGAGTCGCTTTTGTCTCGCCAAGAGCCGGTTGTTTTCTGTCTTTAAAGATTCTCGGAACGTGCCGTTGAACCTGATGGCGAGAGCCCACCCTCTTCCCTCCCGCGGAGAGTAGCTGCGAGCACTCGAGAGAGGGAGACTATTTTCCCTCCTGTTTCAAATCAGAGGGAAATCTGGGACAGGTCTGAACACAGTGAGAGCGCATTCCACATCCCAGTCATACACGCACAATGAAATGAGAAGCGTCTGTGTATCTTGACTCCTCTAGCAGCTTCTCTGAAGTAACTTGTGGGAGGGGGGGAGTCTTACTTGAGCTGCAGATTAATTTGCTCCATCTACCTGTTACATCAGTTCTTATAGTGTATGTTTAGTTGATTTGTTTTGCAGTAAGCATATATTTTAAAAAGAGCCTCTTCAGCAAAAAGAATTGTGTCAGTAGTTGATGTCCCTTCTTACAAAAGAACTACCACTAGCAATGGATTATTAATGTGTTTCAAGTGAACAAAACCCAGGTTAGGTCTTTAAACACCCTTTTCAGGATTTTCCTGTTTTACCAGTTCCCAAAACCACTAAAGCAAGGAATTGAATTCAAAATAATCTTGTTCCTGAGGTAATTTTCTGCCCTGCAAGCTTGCACTTAAATGCCTGGATTTAATTATGCGTTATTAACCCAATAGTCTTAAGATCCACAGTTCTGTAACAGACAACTTCTTCTTGAATATTTATAATAATGAATCATTTTAATTGAAAGGTAGAGCTACTTAATAATTGATTAACACAAAATCGAAGTTGGTATAAGCATTTGGGTCAAAAGAAGTTTTGCTAGATTGAGAGATGTTTATTACAGTTCTCAAAAAAAATTGGTCTTTCTCTAAGTTCCAATTTCTGAAGCTGTATGGTTGCAAAAATGTCATATAATTTCTCAGAAAAAAACATGCAAAAAAGTTCTTTTTCACGTCTGATTGTACAAAATTTATATGTGATGGCATGAAATTTGTAACATATCTTAAGGTTTTTTAAAGATTCAACTTACTATGTTGTGTCTTGAAAACATTTTTTTTTCCATTAGGGGAATGATATGCATTTAAATATTTGAATTTAGTGGATTGGTATTTGGTTTTTAATGGAACTCAATTGGTATGTTAAATCTTTCTTTGTATCTCTGCATATTTCTTTTATTGGATGCTGTCTGCTAGCTTAGGTACAAAAATTATATTTTATAATAATGATGATAAAGAATGGGGCTAGTGTCTTATAGATCTAAGTAAAGTTTGCAAGGCAGGAGATGAGAGATTGCACTGGCAGTAGTTGTTAGAAGTATTGATCTATCTGGCACTTTTGGCAAAATATCAGCAATTGCTGCCTGTTTGTGCTGCTGTCCTAAAGCATGTGTTGAAATGACTACTGAATCTTTTTCTTTGTGATTTATCAAGAGCAACAAACACATTTTCATGGTTTCAGAATGTTGAAATCTTTTTTCAGACTTAGAATTCTTTGGTTTGGAAATACTCAGGTCCTTTAGTTTAGTCCTTTAGTGACGTGCCTGGTTTTTTCAGGTTAAATGTGATCCTTGGATAAAAAGCCATCTATAAATTGTGTAATAGAGAAGTCAGGGCTCAGCACTTTTTTTTCTGAAAGGCTGGGCAAGAAGTAGATCATCAGCTTGTTATGAACTAAGACTTAGTAAAGAATGCATGTAAAAGTGTACAGGGAATACAAAGAACCTATGCATTTCCAGTGGCACAGGTATGTGAAGCATTGGTTTCCAGTGCACACTGCTCTCTTGAAGCAGACAACACTCTCCTGGAAACTAGGAAGTCTGGCTGTGTATGATTGAGGGAATGTGTTACTTAAAGCAGTTAATAGGTAAGTTGAAACCGGCTGGCTGCTGACTTTGTGTATGCATTGATTTTAACAAGCGACTGTAAGAGCTGGTTTATTAACAAGACAGAATATTGTATACATTTATTAAATCAACAAATTAACTGGTTAATACTGATAATTAGAGGATGTCTCTTTACTGTTATTCCCAGAAAATCTGGTTCTGGAATAGAGTATACAACTGCCTGCATGAAGCCAACTCTAGTCTCCCAAACCTGGTGCTCCCTTGGGAGCTGGGGAGGCAGTGCAGAAGCACAGAGTGGGGAGGCTACTGTAGCTTGATAGCCTGGACTCCAACTCTGTGCAAACACAGATATGTTTCCACATCCCACTAGGATATCTTTTGCACTTAACATTGCTGGCTACCAGTTTTCTAAGTCTGTCTTAGTTAATTAGCAGGTGTCTTAATACTGTCTCAAAAGTTTAGTTAATGAGGCCTGGCTTTCAGTGGTAGAGTGGAAGAGGCTTGTTAAATGAGGAAATCAATAAGATGCTGGACAATTAAAAGTCTATAATTTACCACTATGTCTCTGTCAGCAATGGTATTGCTGTAAATCTGAGTTTGGATTAACTGACCTCTGTCCATTTCACGATATGTTTGATTCTTAGTATCAGTTGAAAATACTTTTAGTTTTACTGTTTTACGTGATTATATAGACTGATTACAGACCCTGGATCATGGCCCTTGAGATCACCAGAAGCACCTGCACTGCAGTTTGGGAACTGGTGCCTGTTCAAACACTTGGAGAAAGAGAATATGATTCTTTGCTGAATCTGATTCTTTGCTCTCAGTAGTGGAAAAGGGATTAGGAAAGGCGTGCTTGTGGAACACAAAGTGATTTCAAAGGGAATCACATAATTTCTGCATTGTTCTCAGATTAGGATGTTGCTTAGCAAAATGTTGGGAATCTTTAGCTTCTGCTAAAACAAAAGTACAAGTGAGCAATATATGTCACAGGCTCTTACAGGTTACTGTTTAATCTTTACACGTGTGATAGTGACTAAGATTAAACAAGTTTTAATTGAGAGAGTGCAGAGCATGGTCACGTGACTGGGGGAGGGGTTGCTTGAAATCGGTAATCTGGTCTGACAACTGCAGTCTTTTTAGTTGACTGTTTCTGTTAAAGGTCCCAGGATCTAAAAATGTGTGGTGACCATTTTTAAGCTATGAACACTTAAAAATCTTGGTTTAGTACTGCTATTGCTTAGCACACACACTTCTCTCTTTTATATGCTGTAAGTTAAATAAAATAGTACCTAAACGCTAATGAAGCCTCCAAAGTATCCTAATAGCTGTAATCATTAAAGATTTTTAGGAATTAGTTTAAAGAGTATTTTAATTGTTAGAATCCAAGAGGAAAACAGAGTGTAGCAGGCTGCTCATGTGCTGAAGACATTTCCATGTAAGTCAGGACTTGGAGTTTACCCACCTTAAACTTCACTGCATGCACAGATTTCCCTATGAAGCGAGGAGAATGGAAACACTGATAGAAGTTTAATAGGTAAATGAAATACCCTCCCCAACATAGTAACGCTTGCCGCTGGGGTGAACTTGTTCTAAGAAGTAGACAGGACAAAGATGTGGTGGAAAGATGTAAAATGTACAACCTAAAGAAACAGCATAGTGGTACCAAAGATGATCTTAGTTTTCTGGATAGAAATAAATTTCAGTTGTTATAGTCTATTTAAAAGCCATTCTCCAGGAATCTTTATAAAAGCTGAGAAATTAATATTAAAGGCTTAACTTGTAATTTCAGATCTCTGCTTGCCTTTGTTTTATAGGTTCCATTCCTATAAATAGAAATTCAATAATTCTGTTATTTTAAAGACTTTGACTTTAAAAGACTGACTTTTTTTTAATTACCATTCCTAGGAATGCAGCATTTCATTTCAGTGTCAAATCCTTTTCTTCCTCACTGTCATTTATAACTCAAGTATTTTCTGTCAGAAATGACAAAACTTCTTGCCACCTAAGGCAATCCCACAATTTTCAGCTGGCTTGGAGAGGCGTAAGGGATCGATGCTTATTGAATTTGACTCCCTTTTGTATGGCAAAATTCTTTAATTCTCTCTGCTCTATTTTAGTTCTGCAAAGCTAATGAGGGCAAGAGGTAATAACAGCTTGGTAGGGTGGGGGAATACAGGTGTGGATACATAGATACATGTATGTGCTTATGTTTTGCTCATTAGGTTTATAGGTGTGGAGTTTTGTCTTCCTTTAGTTCATGATTGTGACTTGCATTTAAAAGTTATGTGAAGAGGATGTTTCTGTATACTTTGAGAGGCAGTAGGATATGCCACATTTTGTAGTGCATTTTGGGAAATTTACTACTGTTATTTATATAATTCTTTTTAATAAAATATATCTTTGTGCCCACTACAATGTGCTCTTTAGTAGAACATACTTGCACACTTTTCTTACCTCATTATTAAATATA